GGGCAAAGATCACTGTTTGGAACTTTTGCAGATTTGCAGTTTTAAAAAGTGTTGCTTTAATGAGTGCACTTTTGTACAGTGATTAAAATCTGTCCATATTTCTGAAAAGATCAAGGAGTTCCACCCCAGCATTACTTTTATTTATTAGTGTAACCCCTAATTTTGGAGGGAGGGGGGAACCCCCGTTCTATGCTTATGTTTTACAGCAACTTCCCCAAAATGCAGTACAATTTAGTCACTGCCCCCCAAGCCGGAAGAGCAAAAAAAAAACTTCCACACAAAATATCAGAAAGTAAGTGCAAGGTCATAACAGGACATTTAAAAATGTGAGATTTAAAACTTAGTATCATATGAAACCTTTTTGAAGTACCATATAAAAATAGTACACATTTGCCATACTGTGGATGCAATATATAGCTATGGTCATCAGGGGAAATATGCATTAAGTTACCTTTAAATTAATGAATTGTCTTTGCTTTTCTATTGATTTTTTTTAAAAAGTTGACTAAATTGAATTAACTGGATCTATTTTAATTAAATATAGAAAAAAGCAGATAGTGGTACTAAGGCTATGTGAAGCTTTGGTCCCTGATTCGATTCGGCAGAGATTCGGCCAAATTTGGTGTCTGAATCCAAATCAAATCAGAGGACCCTTTAATCTCTCCAAATTGATTCGGAAAGTTTCAGAGATTTGGACACAGAGACAGCTTTAAATGTTTTTTCTACATATCTCTACGGTAGCAGGGGCTCGTGAGTGCTGTGATGCTGGGGCACAGGGAGGGTCCTGCAGAAGCATGGGGGGCTCCCAGTGCGCTTGGCAGCAGATGCAGACATGGACCTAAAGAGCTTCCACTCCACTTCATGTGCTCGGTGGCGGACCCGGGAGTACCCCCCACACTCCTGTGGGATGCTCCATGCACCCCAGCATCACAGCGATCATGAGCCATGCCTCTCCCCAATTCAGGCTGATTCCGAATTGAATAGGGCTCGCTTCGTACAACCCTAACCGATACAATTTGCTATTGTACATTTAAACAATATCCCAGCTATGCTGAATGTAATCAACTTCATGGACTCCTAAAGAAGAACAGTATGTTCTGTAGAGTATTACACTGGTAAGTTGAACAGGGAAAGGGAGTTTGCCAGCTAAGGGCATCTTGCAGTGCTATTTCCAAGTTTATTTGAAGTCAAACAATGCCTCACCTCCATGACAGCACTGGGAAAAATCTATTAGATCTACCAGCCTTTCCCCAGTTTTGCCCCTACTCCTCCGCAATGGGTTGCTTCATCTTTTTACAGAACAGAAAGAGGGCTATGCATTCAAATGAAGTGGAAGGAATTTGGAAGGAGGGACACCTGGCCAATGAAAAGGGATAGTTTAAAACGCCAACATTAAAATTAATTATTAAGAATTTTCCATGGACTAGTTTCTCTGGTTTGAAGGAAAAAAGTGCAGAACATCACCACAAGCATCAGAAGACTACTGGGAAAAAATATCCTTTCCCTCTGTGCTCTCATATCTTAGAAATGAGCTAATAGGAGTTAGAATTCCCAAAAGTAGGTGTTGCTAAGCTTTGGCTACTCCAGTGTAACACAATTCTTCCAGAATCTTGCAGAAAAGTTTCCATGTGGAATCATTCAGAAAATGGGTCCCCAGAAAATACATAGCTAGTTCCATGCTATCTCTTATGCTGAATTCATGAGAGAGAGCAAGAGAGAGAGAGAGAGCGAGAGAGCGAGCGAGCGAGCGAGATACAATGCCTTTTCATTATATTTTTAATTTGGCACACTGTGAACCTTTTTATAACACTGTGCACAGTGATTAAAGGTGTGCACATCCCATTCCATACGTAGACTACCTAGCTTTCCTCATACGCTCTTAACATGCATACATAAAACATTTTATATATATACATAGGAGAGAAGATACATGAGATTTCCCTTTCTTTAAGGATGCATACTCAGGGACCTCAACAGGGTAATAGTACCTCTTTCAGCCTCTTTCATTGCTGAATTTAAAAAAGCATGCCATTTTATTAATTCAATTAAAAAATAGAAATCTTAACTATGCTCTTGACAGGACAAAAACATGAATGTTATCTCAGAGATGCATTCCTCTTAGCGATACATATGTTATAAATTATATGAATGCAAGTCCCAATATGTATAAAGTGTAATACAGAATGTGCAGTGGGGCTCTTTTAAAATGCTGGGGAAATGCTCATTATATTATGGAGACTACTCCATACTGTAGATTGCAACCAGGTTCCCATTATAAGGCCCATTTTAACACTCTCTTAGATAAGGAAAAAGATATGATTCAAATTTTCTGCAACTGCCCTTAGGTTGCAACAGAGTCTTCTTTCTACATTTAAAGTCATTTCATAAAATTATTTTATATTACAACTGGCTAACAACAGTCGCTATAAATTCAAAGAAAACAAAAACTTGAAGAATCTTTACAGTTAGTGCTGTGTCCCATAAATGCATTAAGTTGTATACATTCCTTTCTAACATCTGCAGGGTCCTAGATACATTGCGTATGCCTGGCTTAAACTGTAATTTTAATATGGCTTTTGTTTCCATTTTTAAAGGAATTTTTAGAAAGAAAATATTGTAATATTTTAAATGTAACAGGAAAATGTAAAAACCATTTTTTTGAAGTCTGCATGTGGTAAGGAAAGATCAGCTACGTAAGATACTCTCAGTCACCTATGTAAATCATGACACTGCATGTGGCAGAAATATTTTCTCTCTATCCCGTTATGCCAGTCTACTATCTATATAACAGATGACACAACTACTTCAGAAGTTTTTGGAATCACTATTGACACTTTCTGGAGACTTCAAACTTCATTTTCTATTCCAGAGCATGCAAGTAATATATTAACATAGTTTGATAAATGGGATACTTGTGGGATTTATTTGTGCTGAGATTCAGATAAAGGGGAATGTGATCTACATCTGGAAACTGTAATCTGTGATTTATACTGGGAGAGTGAATACGGATGTTCTAGCTTAATTCTAGTCCAGATAAGAAGAATGGGCATGAAAACTAGCCTTTTTCTCCTGTATTAGACATATTTGAATGGCAGATAGGAAATACCATTGTTTGTGGAAATGATGCAGTACTTTATGGCTGTAACTATTATATTCAACTGCAACAGGCAGCTATCAATCTCCTTATATTGATCTGCTGTTTAATCTTTCATTGTTAGCTGAAATAATTCGAAAGAGTCATCACAAGACAACTCTGGATATTGATGCCTCAGACTTACTAGACAGTGGTATACCTGTATGCTGTTCTTATTCCCTTAGCTGATTATCTCTCTTCTTTTATATATGAAGTTCAAGAGAGAGATTTTTCAAAGACAATGAGAGGAACCAAGTACCTAATTTCCAACAGCAACCGGGTATTTAACTCCCCATCGTGCCTTTGAAAAAAATCTCTCCCTGCAGGCCCAACCCAATTAGATCTATCAGATGCTTTTGATCACAAGATACTGAATTACCTATGCACCCTTGTAAACTGCCTTCCAATGGCATTTCACTTGGAGAGAGCCCTATGTGCATTACCAGGTAGATGTTCCCTGCTTTAATGGCCTTTCCTCATGAGATGCTGTATTGTGTCACTGTTCTGGATCAATAGCATGTTAAAGTGCCAGTCCAGAGATACAGGTTGAAGAACCTTAAATATACTGAAGAGGCCAGCTTTCTAGATTATTCAGTCCAAACACTGAGTGTCTTAATTACTATTTGGGGGAGAGCAGGATATGGAAGACTCACTTAGTTGAGGCTCAACAAAGACAAGATTGAAGTGAAGATGGTAGCTTAGGGGAACAGCTAGAGGATAAAGACAACGGCTGCATAACTCACTTAAAATCTGTCACTTAAGTGTGCACTTCAGGATTTGTTAAACGCCCCAGCTGCTTTTAGATCATTAAGAACAGAAACAAATCCAGGCAAGCTTTTTTGCCATCTGGCAATGTTAGAATGCAATGTTAGAAGACTGCAATGTTAAGCATCCTATTGGCAGCAATGCTTATGAATACTTTGCGCACCTTATATAGATACTTTTCATCACAAGATCCCAAAACAATTTATTATCATCATATACCCTGTTTGCAAATCAGGAAGACTGAACCACATGTTTTATACCAGGAGAAGGCAAAGTCCAGCATGCAGACCAGATAAGGCCAGCGGTGGACTCCATTTCCAAGCAGCCCCTGCCCACATCGCTGCAGTCAGTTTTCATGGAGACCCCAGCAGTAACAGGCCCCTGAGAGTCACAGTGTTGGAGACCAGCCCTAGCAGCACTGGCAGGGAGCTGCTCTGCGGCCGGGACAATTTAGCAGTGACAGCATGGTCCAGACTTGCAGCAGAGCCGCAATCTGCTGCCCACACACCCTGGGCAGGGGTGTGCAGCCAGCGGATCGCAGCTCTGCCCTGGCTCTGGACCACTGCAAGATCCCAGCCCCAGCCCTGGAGCAGCATGCCCTGCCAGTGCTGCTGGGGCTGGTCTCCATGGAAACCGGCTGCAGCAACATAGGCAGGGGCTGCTGGGAAGTGGAGTCCGACCACTAGCCAGATCCACCATGTTGCCCACTCCTAGTTGATATCCTACATTTCAAAAAGTATTTACTCAAAATGAATATCCAGGTTGAATGGAGGCTTTTCTCCCCTACTGCTATTTTGCTATTCCTTTAATGTTACTGATAAGAAGAGCATCTCTGAGGTCTTTTCAGGGTATCTAAATCCAGGAGACACGTTACACAGAAACAAATGTACAGACATCAAAAGAATGAAAAGAAATAACTTGATTTACTAAGTACAACAGCCCTTCACTGACAATGAAAGCAGCTAGAATTGCCAGTACTAAATGTTAGCCCAATATGGAGGCACCACATCTCTGACATTTGAAACAAGTAGTACTCAAAACTAAAAATTCACCGTGAAAGAGGAATGAAATGAACAGTGTGTGAAGAAAAGTGACGGCTTACCTCTAGTAGCTCTGAGACAACAGGCAGAACTTCAGGATTACAAATGTCTATAGAATCATCCCGATACGTTTTCTTCTTGTAACAAATATTACCCAGGTGTAGTATTGCAGATAAGAGAGAGAAAATTCTGAAAAAAAAAATTAAAATGCATTTGTGGTATTGTTCTTCCCCCATAATGCTAAAAAAGAAATTAAATCTGTTGTCATGGAACAAAGACTAGCGTTAACAACCTTGCAATGGCATTTGCTGGCAAAATTCTAGTGCAGTGAGACCTAAAAGAAAAACTGTCAGAACACTGCCATAAAACACTCCTTAAAATGTATTCCCATTAGAAAATTATCTAAAAATAGAGGCAGTGTTAAGCATCCTTCTGTCTGCAATACTTATGTATGGTTTGCTATGTCTGTTTAAATTCTAGTCCAGCATTTTATTACTTCTCATGACTAGATCTCAAAGCAATTAAATTACCATCATGTGCCCTGTTTACAAATCAGGAGGACTGAGCCAGACAGTTTCTGCTAGCATTTCTAAAAGTGTCTACTCAAAATAAATATCAATGTTGAGTCATCTAAGGCCCAATTTTCACTGAAGACTTAAAAATGGCTTTCCCAATAATATGGCTTACGGTTTTTTTTGGTTTTTTTTTAATTATTCTTAAGCCACTTAAGTAGTGGCACCCCTGAGCAAAAGAGGCCAGCTCAACCAAATCCCAGCCTCCAGTTCAATTCACTACACCAATGGTTCCATGACGTGCCTTCATATTACAACAGGAAGGGAGACGGGAGGGAGATAAAACAAGTCTGGCAACCCACTTCTTGGAGAGAAACAGAAGAACATTAGACCTGATTCCATACGTGAAAGCACCGGTGCTCTATTTATACTTTGCATATTGAGATGGAAAAATTATTTCTTTTAAAATGGAACTTCATTCTGAAAAATGACTGAAATAATTTTAAAAAATGACCTTCTCCCTCCCTCCCTCCCCCAATACACTCTTACCCCTATGTCTGTCCTTTTTGACTATCTAGTAGTGGCTAACTTCCATGCCCTGTTTTTCATTCCTGCTAGCTGTGCATATTTTCCATATATAATAGAATGGAATTTAATTCTACTTTTGTGCATCAGTAAAAATGGTCAACACATTCCCATTACAAGGTAACTACTGCTAAAAGTATGCAACCCCAATGAGGGCTGTGACCCTGCATAAACATCAGAGAGCAAAACTTGGGTATATAAATCCATTCCTGCTGAATTCGACATTAAGGCTGTTATAATCAGTTGGTTTAATTTTCTCCACCAGAAAGGCTATAGCTTCTCACCGAGTCATTTCTGTAGAGGCTGTACATTTGGGTTCAGTTTTAAATAGGCTCACAGTCCCACATCCTGTAAAGCTAATCTACAGTTTGTTTCTGCATAAATGACACGGAACAACTGAATTAAAATCCTCATTATTTGAATAACTCCAGTGAACAAAACAAATGAGAATGTTCTGTATAAACAGCCTTCCCTACATATTAATGGCTACTTAACCAATTTGTGTATTAATGACAAACTTCCCTAGAAATACTTTTCTATTTTTAACTTCTACCCCATTGATAAAAGATACTGAATAGCATTGGGCCAAAATTATATCCTCGCTGGACCTCACTAGGAACATCCCTTTTTGATTATGATTCTTCATTAACTGTTTTGAGATCTACCAGGTAATGTTTAATCCATTTAATGTGCCACACTAAATATTGTATGATGTTAATTTCTGTTGGAGATGTAATACAATGAAGAAAAAACCCAGATTGGCTTTCAACTACCTAGTTGGATTTGTGGCGATAGTAGTTACTGAACAAATCTTTTCAGGTTTATAACTGAATACATCTGATATGGAACTCAGAGCAGACAACACGGCTTCAGGCCTGGACAGGGCAGTGAATTCAGGGACCTGGTGTTATTTCTGGCTCCACCACTGCCTGCTTGGGCATGACAACTTCAACCACTTTGTGTCTTGCTTTCCATAAGTGTAAAACAGGGATCATGATCATGACTTCCTTTTTTGAGGGTTTGAGATCAAGATACAAAGAGTGCTATTAGCTATAACAGTTAATTATTTATTAGGACAACAAACAGAGAAACCCAGGGCTGGTTTTAGCAGGCACTTCTTTAAGGACACACTTTTTAAATTGCTTTGTTTTCTTTATAGCTGTCTCAACTTAATGTTATTACCCATTTTTTGGAAAAAGCAAATCCACAAAGCTCAACTACTTTTACTTTTAAACACTGAAGATGTTTTATTAACTTGAAACACTTTATTAACACGAAAATTACAACTATATGCATCTATTTACAAGTTTAATAAACTACTGTTTTCTTGCATGCCTACCAGCCTCTGGCCTCTTTACTTACTATTCATTCCATCCAGGAAGAGCACATACCAACTGCAGATACTTCCTCGGCCTGACAAAGGGTTTTTAAACCCAAAAGCTTACTAAGCAAAAGTTTTCCAACTATTTAGTTGGTCTAATAAAAGATATCAGATTTACCCAAAGAACGCTGTCTGCCAATTAAACTCTCCAGCTTTTTGCAGAGTTCACATATGACAGATATTATGTAGAGAAGTTATTGTGCAGTAAAAGCTAGTGTGTGAATCCACAGTGTACTACATGTTCCATACGGACACTCCTAATGGATGGAAACTTGCTCTAATTGTTTACTAGCTTTATTGTGTGATAATTTCCCTGTGTAGACCAAGCCCTAAAAAAAAAAAAAAAAAAATTGTCACCAAGCCCACTGTGTGATGCACAAGGAGTCATCTAGGCACAGAATACAGGAAGCTACTGAATACTGTATTGTTCCAATTATAAGTCAACCCTAGAGATCACATGCTCCCATATTTCCAGGTTCGATTTTAAGAAGAAAAAAAAACTGTCTCTCTTCCAAATAAGTTGATAGCTATAAATTAAGTCCTCAAAGTCCTACTGCCTTTCCAAAATCCCACAGAATCGGTTAAATGGACTAAAAACATCATAAAACCTTCATTGAAAAAAATCCGATTTGATATTTTTATTGCATGTACACAACTACTGCAATCACAAAGGTCTGGGGCCTGACTGTAGGTCAACCCTGCATGTAAGTCTAGTGTGATTTTATGGTTCTCGAAGAAAAATGGTCAACTTATAATCAGAACAACACGGTCCAATTTAGCAGTAGTTCGTTTCTGTTGTACTAAGGAGTTGTGTCGAGTGGAACACCATGTTTATGAAGTACAGATCTATTGTCGTCTTTGTTTGTTTGAAAACATGCATCCAGAGCTGCCCCTGGGGGTGTGCGGGGCCCGGGGCATATCAGCCTGGTGGGGGGGGTGGTGAGCAGCCGGAGCATGAAGCCAGTGGCTGCACAGGGTGGTGGCACCCACAGCACATGCCAATGGTGCTGTCTGCAGGGTCCCCCAAAGTACGGGGCCCAGGGCAGTAGCCCCGATTCACTCCCCACAAGGGACGGCTCTGCAGGCATCAATTCGTACTGTAAACCACCCAGGGCGGGTGACTGAGGCTCCAGCCCTGACCCTTGTTGATGACTTTGAGGGGCTGCAAAATATGGTAGCCACTGCCAACACTACTACCCAGAGCAGAGAACCTACTTGTTATGCCAATGCAGTCAAAGAGATGAAGGTACAGGACTGAATATGTGCATGAACAAGGAGTTTCTCTGCAAACATATGGGTATTATGGAGGAGGGAGAATGGAGGTGGGCTGGGGCAAAGACTACAACAGCCTTCTCTCCTTTCTTGGCAATGATGTGGTTTTTACACTTGTTTAGGAAGCATGAGATAAAATAGCTTTACAGCATCAACTATTTTCTGATACTTGGGGTAAAAAATGGTTATTTGGAAGGTCTATGTACAGGATGGTCAAAGTTGCACATCATATTGGCAAGGGTTTTTAAGCTTGCTGCTTATTTAACTTTGCCTAGACCCAGAAAAATGCCTTTTAAAAGTTACATTAACATTTACATTAACTGCAATCAGTTTATTTTTTAAATGTTAAACATCATCGCTTACATTGGGTGATAAGCGAGGTATCAAATGGAATTAACTCAATTTAAGAGTATAACAAGACAAAGTTGTCATCCTCCCCACACTTACATGATTTCTATAATAGTTCAATGGTTCCTATTATGTTAATTTGATAATCACTGATAATTATTTTTCAGTTCTTCTTAAAGAAAAACCCTATCCAAACTAGATGGACTTTTTGTAGCCTGATAAAAGCCGCCATCTCATTCCTTTATTGCTTTACGACCAGATTGATGAGCACTTTTTCAAACAGATTTGGATGAACTGTTTCAACACAGTCTTCTCAAGGCTTCTAGAAAAAGCCTGCTACTCTATCCACGTTTGCACACAATCTGAATCCAAAGGTTAAAAATTAGACATATATAAAAGGTCAGAGGCAGGATTTCTGAATGAATTGTCATTTGAATTCAAGACGTGCAGAATTAGGCATTTATATTCACAAGCAGTTCAAAAATACTTCAAGGTACTGGCTTCATAGAGATGTCCAATTTGCACAGACCAGATCACTTCTGCTTACATCTTGAAATTTTGTTTAGTCCTTTAATATATGAATTGTCAAATATCTGTCACATCAGCAATCTAAGTTACATTGGGCACAACAGAGTCATATTGCTGTGAATTAGACATATATTCTTGCTCATTATGCATGCTGTTAAACTGGAAGATGAACTCACTGCCTGCGAGTCTTGGGAAGAAACCCCACCATCTCCATGGCCAGCTGTAAGCGCTCAAAGTCATGCTTCAAATCTTCCCCTTCAACAGAGAAGCAATCCTGTTTGATTCAAACACAAAGATGAAGAATTAATAAAAATGAAGTCCAGAATGTGTGTGGACGGACAATCCAGCATTACATAAATCCCATTTGGTACCTTCCATGCTTTTCTATCAATGACTAGAATATTTCCAGTCTGCTGCCTGGATTTTACATACGACTAATTATAGCTAATAACTAAATATATTCTGTACTAACTCCTCTGTGGACAAACTCACCTTGCACTAAGAATGACTTTGTGCAGTTAAGTTTGATCCACTCCCTAACCTAAACCATACCAAGGTACTTTCAATACAAAATAAGAACATACACAAAGAAAGATAGTGTGGAATAGTTAATTCTATAAAAGCTATTTTGAATGATGCCCTCAGGCAGAGAAGCCTTTTCTTCCACCCTGCCTTAAGTCTCTCTAAAACAACAAATGAGCTGTGACATTTTCACTGAGCAAGCACTTTGAGAAGGCCTTGTCTACATGAGGAATTGAGTGTGCCGTAAAGCTAGGGTGTGAATTTACACTACATTGATTGCTCTTCACTGAATGCCCCTGTGGATGTCTAGTGAACATTAAGAGGGCCTTTGAAAATGGAGCAAAATACTTCATGTAATAAAGCCCTGACTGCTCATGCTCAGCAATTAGGTGGCTTAAAACAGTCCTGAGCAAGCACCCCAGCATTGCTCTCCAGCTCTCTCATGGCACAGGCCCAATATTGCTCTAAGCCTTTGCACCCCTAACTAAGGTTGCCAACCCTCCCAGATTGGCCAGGAGTTTAGTGGACTTGGCATTGACATCCCGTGACTACTGAAAGCAATCTGGGAGATTTATATTGTGAACAGGTTGAACAGTACAATTAATTACATTACGTCACGCTGTGGGGGGAAAAAATCTCCCAGAATAGCTTCAGTCAGAGTTGGCAACCATACACTGAACTGCTGGGCATATATAAAGCAGAAAGAATTGGGGCAGGTTTGTTTTTCAGCTGTGCCCTGGGATTTGGCAGACAAGTTATAGATATGGCCTAAGAGTGTCCACACAGAGAGCTGGAACAAATAGCTAATGCACTGATTCACAGGCTGATTTCCTATTACCAAATTTCTTAATGTGACTGACACCCCTTACAGAATGTGAAGAATTCCATTAAAAAAATGCATAAAGCTTTCTCTCAAATGCATTTTTAAAAATTAAAATCAACTGGTTAATTTTCAAGAGTTAGAATAATGAATTCTGGATTGCTGCATACTGAAGATGTTTGAATGCAAGTTATTTTTAGTTGGTGCCCTGGAAATGCTAGATGAAAGGAAATTTGAAATCTTAGTGTAATTTATAGTTTGCGTGTGCATAAAATAAAGGCCTGTTCAAAACAGCATCTGCAATACAGGTCAGAGTTGTGCGCACACATCGTCGGTGTTAATAATTTGCATGCAAATCAAATTACCTGAATATTTAAGTGTCCACACAATTTGAATGCGCGGTTTTGACAAACAAACCAAAAATGGCTAAATGACTAGCACGGGAAATATCACTGGACTGGCATCAAATTGGCACATGACAATGACCAGTACATGGAGCTCATATAGTCTCATGCTCACTTACAACACAGAGCATGAAGCTGTAATTTCATTGTCAGTAGGTAAATACAGATAAACTTTCACAGTCAATTCACTGACAATTCTCCTTTAAGGAGACGAGGTTTTCCCCTTTCCCCCCCATTACTTAACAGGATTATTGTTTTGGACTAATACCAATTTATCATAAAAGAAAAGCACTTTTATTTTAAATCTTATAAGCAACCCAAACATACAGGCATGAGGCAATATTCTGTGGAGTATCTGGTTCTCCATAACTAAAACTGGGTGATGTTCAACCTAATTGTCATAAATCCTGTTCAGCTGGAAAATGGTTGTTAACATTGGTTTCAACCCGCCCTGTGCACAGCAATCAGCAAAACAATATTATAGTGACAAAGTGAATTTATAAAAATAACCGATTAACAGTAAGTGGGTTTAAACAGCGGATTTAAAACCTAAAGCGAAAGTAATATGGGAAGGCTTTAAGTTTTAGTTTATTAGAAAAATCTGTTTGCATTCCATTAGGATTTTCTACTTTTGTGCTGAACTCAATTGATAACCGAGCACAAGCAGATAGATTCCTTTTTGGTTCTGAATGGATTTATGCATTGATATCCAATTCAATAAATGGTGTACTTCAACATAATAAATGAAAAAATAGAAGCAATGAGACCAACTCATTGTAGTCCAGCGTGTCAGAAATGGGATTCAAACACTTTCACCTTTACAACAGCAGCTTGACCTTGGCCAAGAGTGATAGCAAATAAAAGTCATTAGTAACTAGTGGTTGTCTAGTAAACTGCAGAAAGCAAACTGTTAAACTTAGTCAAATATCTAATGAACAAATGCCTACATCAGGAAAAAAAAAAAAAAAATCAGTATGAGAATTGGCGTCCTGTTGGCAGACTCAATGCACAAATCATAAATAAATGAAGGAATAAAGATTAAGGAACCAATAAACCAACAAGGGTAAATTTTTTTTGTCTAAATAATGTTTGAAGATAATTTGAGGAAGCTTTTTTAATCCTGCCTATGCTAAACTTGGGAGCCACAGACAAATACATGCATTTAATTTCCAGGACTAAGATGAGTCAAGGGTATTTAAAAACAAATTAAAAAAAAATCACTAAACAAACTGAAATGCCTACATCCCATTGGACAATTTTATTGCACGACTTCACCACTTTGAAATTAGAGCAAAAGTTAATAGTGAAACTACCACAGCTAACTAAGAAGCAATACCTGCAAAGCCAAAGGCAATCTGTTTAACAATTTACATAACAATTACCAAGATCATTAACCCATACAGAAAAGCTTCTTGCAAATCATTGACTTAAAAGCAGATGCTCGCTCTGTACACTATTTCACCTCCAGTATGTTGCCACAGTTTATCTTCTTTTTTCACAGTGGACATCTATAAATCCAGAACATTCATACTATTATGGTAGACAAACGTGAAAAGAACAAACATCCGTGTGCCAATCAATCCAGTCATCAGTATTCTGTTTATGCAATTACTTCCTTAACTTTTTCAACTTTGGCATGACAAGCCAAGTGCCCTGCTTACTAGCATTAAGTTGAGACAATCCATACACTTGCACTCAAAAGTTAAAATAATATAATGCACTTCTTCACATTGTGTGATAATAGAGTGCTTCTTTTTTTTTGTTTTAAATCCCTGTAGTCCCAGCAAGGTCACAGGATAGACTCCAGAACGTATAGCTAATAGTGAACGAGCGCTGTGTTAGTAAGAATTCCATGCGTGTGCGCTCGCACTCTCTCTTGCTGTCTCTCTATTCTGTAGTGTTATTCCAGTACACTGACAAAAGAGGAAAAAAAGAAATACAGAATTAAGGAAATACCTAACATGTAACTATAAACAACATTTTGCTGCTCAAAAATGGGCAATGCAATGCTGAATTTCCTGGGTCTGCAACAGCTTGTCTTATTAAATTGTTCATTACTAGCTCTGCTGGGAGGTAAAGAGAACATCTTATTCAGCCTCTCTTATGCTTTCTAGGGCCCCTCTAAATGTTCAGGTAGAGGCATAACAGGATCTGATGCGTGATCCACGCAATCGTGCATGGCAGGAGGCACAACTGTGGGATCAAGCATCAGATCCTATCACACCTTATTGCCAGTGCTAGGGGAGCCCTGGTTCAACATCCTACCAGCTGTGCGATTCCTTGCCCTGGCAGCGTATGATGCACCCCTGAAGCTAGGAGCCCAGTCAGCTGCCCCAGTCACAGGGGCATAGACCCTGCTACACGTGTAAATTAAAGCTGGATAGGAACCAACTATAAAGTTATTCCACATTTACCAACTCTATAACTGGATGGACCTTTTGGGTTACTTTGCACGTGTAGCTAGCCTAAATTGATTGCACAATTAACCAGCTAATTTTGTAATACATGTAATGTGTAGAGGGGGCCTAGAATACAATTAGTTGATTGCTAGAATCCAACAGTTCTCTGAAACTGGCAGTATATTATTTGGAGAAGATATTTCCCCCTTTCCAGAACACTAATTCAATATTAAAACTTTTAAAGTCTTAACAGTAGAGGCAGAGCACAGTGAATAAGTCTTGCTTTCATTTTTCTATATATATCTACACAATGATATACGATACCCTTCATTTCTAGAAGTTTGGTAGACATTAAGTAAGCAGAGAATTAGCAACAATATCATGCAATTAGACTTGGAACATGCTTTTAGATGCAAGACAAAACTGACAAAGAACACCACAAAGACACATCTACAGGCCACACAAGCCAAAAGCATATTTCTAATCTGAGCCTTTGTCACATCACTTAATTGCATACAGGAAAAAAAAACCTTCACTCTTTCTTTTTTTGGTCATATACATTTAGAAAGGTGTTGCTATTGAGCTGTCTTCTTTCAGATAAAATGAGCGTAGCTATTTTAAATAAGGATCTGTTCGCACTTGAAATTAAACTCAAAGATCATTTTCTTACACTGGGTATATTGTTTTTGTGCAACAAATTGGATAAAAAATGTGCTGCCGCCACCATTCTGAATGGACAAGAAAACAAACAAATAATCTTTCAGTGGTAGTTTATTTAAAACCTTGATTTGCAGTTCATTGAAACTGAATTAAAATATTGTTCTACTTTCACATACAAGATATTGTATTACTACATAAATGTGTACATAATAGATATTCTATAAAGTAACCTACTGCAGTGTATCACACTTTGGATAAAGTCATCCAACATATAATTGGTTAAAATTAGGTAGGTATATCCAATCTATAGCTAATCTATTAAATAACACTTCCCAGATGACAATGACCAAAAAAAAAAGCAGTGTAAAGATCTGTTCCAACGTAATATGAAGATGCAAGCAGTCTCAATGAAGGGAAAATCTGGCTAATGTTTTTGGTGGTTCTGTTTTAAACTCATTCAGTTTTGCTTTCTCCCTGTGTCTTGGTGTAGCCAAGATTCAAGTGAGCAAAGTAGCACCCTACACCAGCAACACAGAATGCGCATGTACTTGTACTGACCGGCTCAGAGTCATAGTAATAATCATCCCAGCTCTGTCTGAGAGGTTTCTTTGTCATCTGAAAGCAAGGCAAATTGAGTTAAACAGCATTCAAACCAAACATATCTCCCTCTCTCTGGTATCTGAGACAGCAACAATGCAAAGTAACTTGCAAAGTCAGCAAGGATTTTGCATGTAATCATAACATTCTTTTTTTTTAAATGTAAGAAAGTATTTGAGGTTGTAGGAATTATTTGCCACATTTGTCATACTCTGATCTATACTTCTAATTCTTTAAACATGTGCAGAATTTGTAAAGATATTACAAATACAAATTTGTCTATCATAATGGGAGCCACTGGCTTAGCTACGGAGTTATCTGCCCAACTATGCTGGAGACCAAGGTCTAGTTTTCATTTCTTTTACCGCAGGCTCTGGGAAGTGATATATGTTGCCAAAACACATTCCCATGACCAATGATAAAGCTACATTGAAGGGCTTCTAAAAAAGACCACGTTTCTTTATTTATGCATTCATTCAATGTCCTCCTTGGCCAAAAAGACAATGATGAGGTTAGAAAAACTGTTTGGAGAGGGGAAAACATGGAGATTCTTAGGACTAAACACAGGAGGAAGAAAACAGCCCAAGGGCAGAAATGTGGTACAATACATTCTGTTGTGGAAATTAGACTAATTAAGGACCCAGTCTTGCAAGGTGCTGATTCAATGAGGATACTCCCTGGTATTATTCAGTATACCTTGTAAGACTGCAATGTGAACATTTAAATAAAAACATATTTGAATGGTAGGCCAAGTCAGACCTGAGAGGAAATTGTAAATGTTTTTTTCATTTTCTTTTCTCAAACTGAAAGGCCCTTTGAATATTGGACATTTAAAAAGTTTAGAGGGTCTATTGTTCAAGTAATCTGTCACCCTTTAGTTAAGTGCCAAGATAAGGCTAAGCCACAAGGCTCACCTGGCTGAGCAACACCTGTTTCTATAGGCAAGGGCACACAATTTGGGGACTTAGCTAACAGCATATTTGACTACTTCTGACTCCCTAAACTAAATAATCAGGTACCCATTGGCAGCTGGGTTGACAGGGGCAGGTGGAGAGAGGGGCAGCCTTCCACAGGAGTCAGAGAGGTTTCAAGCTTATGGCTTCTGGAGTTATATGGTAGGACATCTTAATCACTCTGCCAGTATACCCCAGCTCTCACCCTCCACACAAAATACTGTTTTATTTGGCTCACCCCAGCGTGGGGGAAAAAAAGGTAGAAATAAAAGCTTTGCTTTATTAACTTTACTTTTTTTTCTAGTCAATAATTGCTAATCTCTTTCCTCTCTTCTCATCCCCTTTCACAGTAGAGGATTCTAAGGCATCTTTAAGAAATTCTTCTGTTAATATGAGAGTGTTCAAAGCTGATCCTGTTGCTTTGCCTTTTCATATTTCCATACATTTCTTCAAGAATCCTCATCTTACTATTTCCCATCTCTCTCTATTTTTCACTGTTACCATTGGAAGGTTGTTGCTACACCATAGATGGAAGGCACTGGCCTGAAACACTATGCTTAATCATTCTAAATGAGCCAGTTCCGTCTAGATCCACACTGGTAAAAATCTCTCTCTACCCATATACCTATCTAAGCCAATCATGTCAAACCAAATATTCATGCTGAACTAAGCATAGAATCTACTTCCATAATTAACTGAGATGCATGTGGAATCTCCATACAACTCTATTTATATCCATGTTCCTTTAAGGAAGGATGAAAAATGGATGCTTTCATCGAAAAGATCGATGCCTTTTACTTACCCAACACATTAGGCTCTTTTGTTTTGACTTTTAGTTTTAAATGTTTTGACCTCTATTTTATTACGTTGAAAAAATTAAAGGAACAAAATAGAAAAAGCTGTTTTACAAAAATATGGAGGTATTAAGACTATTCAACAAAACCAACGGAAGTGAGAAAACATTCTATCCAAAACTATCTTGGCTCTCTCATGCTTCAAAATTGCAGCACAGATGGTGCATACAGAACACACACTATTCTCAAACCTCTGCTACACTTAAGCACCAACACAGTACTTAATAGAGCAAATGCCTTAAGCTTTAACTTCCTATTTGCTTATTCAATGGTGTGAAATTCTTAACATCATTAGATGTAGGAGGTAATCATTATAACATTGTGTTTTGACTCTGATAGATTTTTTCAAGGTCTTTAAAAGTTATGACACTTCTGGAGAGTTAATGCCATATTACAAAGTCAACCTTTTACATTTTTTAAAAAGCTTAACAGATTACTTGCAGCACACTGTGTTTACATCTTTAACGCTAATTAGAAATCTAAGAAAGGCAAATTAGTCTTCATTAGTAGCCAATGAAGAAACTAATTTATACTGCATGTGATCTCAACTTCAGGAAATAAAAGGACAAATCAGAACAAGGAGGTGAAGAGATCTAATAACTAGTGACATGCAAGATTTTAATGTGAAAACTCCATTAGCATTTGTGGGACCTAATGTCTTTCCTGGTAACACATAAGTGGCAAAAAACACCCCAAAATCTTTACTGTCAATTATGTTTTCTGTTGTGCAAACTGAGTAACTTCATAATATCTCACTCATTTAAAATTTATGGGAGTTTCCACATTTGGTTTATATTAGGCTTGTTGCATTGTTAAGCTACAAGAGTCATGCTGCCAGACAGCCATGAAGTTAAAAATTATGACTACATCATGCAAGACATTATATCCTACAGACCCATTGGTAAGAGATAGACACATCTCTATCTAAACAAAACTAGACAGAAGACAAGTATTAATTGGTAACAACATTCATAAGGCAGCAGGTAAAAGATTACTATAAACCCTTTAAGAGATGTACCTTGCTTAAGGGAAGGCAAGCAGAAAAACCATCCCATTTCCAACACTTGAAAAAGGACAAAAACTGATTTCCCATCACAGACTCCAAAAGCCAGAGATCATAAAGTCTACCATTTAGATTATTTTCTATATTCACATTCAGTATCATCAATATAGAAAACAGCATGTCATTAAGAGAGAACAGTCCGCCATTCCAAAGCTAAACATTAAGCAACTCCAAAAAAAAGGGGTGTCATCCCCAGAGCTGCCTATCTATTCCCACCTGATTGAGGTAATGATACTCCTCGGGTTGTTTAAGGTGGAATGCGGATCTTTCTTCCTCACTCGCTCCTGCCAGAAGGTAATAAAACACATGGTAGTTCCTGGTAATGAATAAAAATGATGTTAACCTTCAAAAGCAGTGTTAGCACTGAGCACAGAAACACACATATGCACTAAGAACCTAACTTTCAAATACAAGTACTCACAGTTGCTTATAGTTCGAACACATATACTGTGATTTATAAAGGACCCAACTGATGTTTGGTGCCCAGTTCCCACTGATTTTCAAACAAAATTCAGGCACCTAGCATCCTTAGGCCACTTTGAAAGTTCAAGAGGATGTGCAGATGGTTACTTCCAGGTGCAGCTAGCCATCTGTATGTAAAAATAGCTGGCCTTATCAAATGTCCCACCAGCACATGAAGACTAATGTTCTTCTTTTGAAGATTCAGGACAGCAATCTGCTACTGATTGGCCTCATTATATGTGCACCTTTCCCCAGTAAAATCTGTAAAGACTGTCCATGCAAGGGAACAACAGAACGCAAAGCTGAGATCCTCCACATGGATGAGAAAAGTTGACCATCAGACCAAAGTTTACAGCACTTACTTTTATTTCACATTATTAATACTGTTGTTATGATTCTGAATACAGCATACTGCATTTAAGGACACGCAACCTTTTTTCAGTTCTTGGCCAACACACTTACCTGGAGCATGCACTTACACTAACTTGAAGAAAGTAGTGCTCATCATCTATAGGAAGAGCCTGAGCTAAGCTTTTCACACCTCATTAGGGTTCCTTCCTTCTCAGAGAACCCTATGCTTTTAAATGAGTCAGAACTCATGGTAAAGGTGATATCTTTTATTAGACCAGCTAGAAATTTGCACAAAAAAATTCTAAAAAAAAAATTCCTTTTAAAAGCAGCCTTGAAATTGAGAGCTCCTTATCAATTTCACCAATCTAGCAGAGGGTTCCTAGGCACTTAACCAGTATGCAGGTAAGGGCTGCTTGTTACCAAGAAGGCAGCAAGTAACCATTTGGGACTAGCACTCTTTTATTCAGTTAAGGAAATTACACATTTAATGAACTGTATATCCATTTTTGTAGCTATTTAGCTAGTAAATAAAATACAGACAAGACACCAGCTCATTGACACTAATGCACCCTCTATGTAGGCAGACTTAAAGGTCTGTGATAAGTGCTCATTTGTAATGAGTACAGCCTTTAAGCTATTGAGAATATTTTGCAAGGGGTATACCTACTTAGTCTCTTAAAATGAACAGGTATAGTCATACAGCATTGCAAATCTCACCAGTGATGAATAAAAGAAGAATACTTTTCAAGAGAGCAGAACACAATCTATAATACTCCTAAGAGTCTCAAACTGATTCTGATACCATTTGTCTGCTTTGAACTGTAGTTATGTTCAACAGCATACTCTGTAACAAGAACAACTTATTGGTAAAAGCTGTAAATTGAAGAAAAAGTGAGGTGAGGGAAAACTAAAAAAATACGCACAATAGACTTCTTGGGACCACAATAAGTACAGCAAAAGTGTCCATGTTTTCTATTACTCTTATAGAATCACTAAACAGGAAGGTTTTTACAAAAAAAAAAAAAAAAAGGG